TCCCATCTAATATTGGAACCATAAACGGAATGTATTGATCGGTTGTCTATCCTGCCAGTAGTAATCGAAGCCCTCTATTTCCATGAGAGCATCCTCAACGTTTTGATTTAGCCAGGTTTCTTATATTCATACGTCACGTGTTGGAATGGATGCGTGTGTTCAGCGAGGAAGGTAAATCCGAGGTCTTTGTGAATAGCGAGCGAACGCTGGTGCTGGCCAATAACGACACGGTCATCTTGGAAGATGGGGTGCTGTTTAGCGCACCTTGGCATCCAGCACGCTTGCACTTCTTGATCCAAACGTGATTGCCAGGTTCTCCAAATGTGTTGTTTTTTTTCGAGGCCCGAATTCATAGATTTCAATCTGAGCATAACCTGACGAGAGTAGGTATGGTTCGAAACCTGTTTCTTGTCAAAAATAACCGTAAAATTCAGTGAGACGACGAGGCCACAAAACGTGGCACACTCAGAACGGCTATGATATCCTTGAGCGTCGAAATTTTTGCACTCGCCCTTTCCTCATCGTCTAATAATAGTTTGTCATACTTATTTGTTAGGCCTGTTATACATTTCACTAAAGAAACTTATATACAACCAATGCAAAACCATGAACAATCTGCTTGTGTAGTCATCTGTTTGAAACGCTTGTTCGATAGCTTTGTGCAGCTAGGATGATAACATTTTCGGCAGTAGCTGGATGCAATGCTTGTTTTGACATCAAAAAGCAGTGTTGTCATGCCGTTGGACGGGGTGGTCGAACTGGTATCAAACGTTCACTTCCGGAATCGTGCAAATACCGTGAAGAAATTGCTGCAATTTTTGATAAAACTTGAGGCTTCAGCGACGAAAAGCTTATACCTTCATTCTTATGTCCTGCAGTGCTAAGTGATTTGTATTCAGGGCTCATGGGTACCAAGAGAAAAGGAAGTGTATCTCATGCATTTGTCCTGTTGGCACTCAGAGTTGAACTGTGACTGCATCCACAAATGGTGTGCATTATCTTCCAAGTGGAATCCTTGGTCGATAATCCTTGATCCTAGTCAAACAGTACATACTGACTACTGCGATCAATTTTTGAAACACGTTTTACGTTTAGTCAATTGATGATTCCTATTCTCGATTACCCGATGTTTATTTCACTATTATGCCTAATGTTGGTCTCGCAAGTTTTTCAAAAACTTTCGTCGAGATCGGGTTTCACACGATATTGTCACAAATAATTAGGTCATTTCACTCATAAGAAAAGGATTGATTAATCACGTCACCTCAGCATCCGAAATCAAATGGACCAGTCTGAAAAATGTGTTCGAACATCAACTAGACAAACACATATTCACACGTCCAATTTTGACGATCTTGACAGAATCATCGACAAGTTCCTCATATAGGATCGGAAATCTACTATCTATCTCTCTGCAGAAAACCGCTCCGCAGCGAGTATTCCGCACAAACCTTGGTTGAGAATCAGCGGAGGTATTCTATCACTGGATCTGAGCTGCGACTGTCGGAGGACATAGTGCTAATGCAGATGAGCTACAGACTTTTCCACATATTTGCCTTGGTTACGGGTCCATCCACTGTATTTGAATGGATCAGATCGTGTGGAGTATTGTGATGATCTCCACCGACGAGACAACGCCAGCCATGGTACGACAGGTTACTTTTTCTGAACATTGCGCTCCCTTCGATTGCGTACGCTACACTCTGGTGCTTGTTCGTCACATTGGAAATTATCGTGTTTGTTTCATCTATATCTCGTTGCCCATCATGTACAGAATCTATAAATATTCTCGTCAGGACATGCTCCGACTAAACACTGAATTTTGAACTACCCACTGATTATTTGCTTGGTGAGAGTCAGAAAAGTCCTTGGATGAAAAATCACAGATGACAGACTGCACTTACTTGTACCACTCCTGCCAAGATTACTGTGCCATCATTGGTCAGCACTAACGTTCGCTATTTGCGAAAACAAACTTCAAGTAGGTATCAAACTGGAAACTTTCCCAGACACGAGCAAAAACTTTCGTTTTGCGGTGGGAATCAGATCAGAATGGACTTCGTAAGCGAATTCCAGACAGAGTCAAATCTCCTGTAATTTTGAACTACATGGGGAATTGGAACTGATTTCACGGATGTACATGAGAATACACGATCCGGTGCACTGTGTTCCCGTTGTAAACTGAATTCCGGGATATAAGCAAACTGTTCCCTGAACTAAGAGGGTTGTCAATCCAGGAGGCAGTCAATGGATGAGACACCGTAGGTAACTCGGAGAAAACCTCGTTAAATCTGACCCACTAGTCACGTTGGAGTGCACGCAATAAGATAACATAGCGGATGGGTGCTGATCATTTTTCGGGGCGATCTCCATTTTAAAATTTTTCACGAGCTGGATCAAAACACATGCAAAGAGAAGCCGAAGTCCCGAAAGGTCGGGAAATGATACTCGGATTTTATAGTGCAATAAGAGTTGAAATTGGGTTTCAAAATACACAACGCTATCACTCGCGAACAGTGCCGAAAATATTGTAAAAATTTGATTATAGTGCCGAGCATAACAGCCTGAATACAAAACTTCAGTCCGACAAAATATTCTCCCTCACTCATGGTCTCACGACCATTAATCTTGATCAAAGCAGCTTTGATCGCATCATGTTTTAAGCACCTAATTCCCGTGTGTGGTTTCGACGTATCACATCATCGGTAGCCGAAACTGAACACGGCATATGCCCTGAACTCAGATTTCACGTGTACATCCTGTTCATATTTTTGATGCTGAATTTTGACTGATAGGACTAGACGAGCCTAGAGGAGGATGGAAAAAGTATGTGACATCATCCACTTTCGGACGCAATCGGTCCTATTACCACCGAATTCTCCATATTTGTGTTCCTCGAGCTGCAGGTCTCGCACTCGTACGACAGGACTCTCACAACAAGGAAATATGTTTTGATTTTCACCATCATAATTCGGTATCGATATCCACAGGCAAAGTGAATTTATTGGGATATTTATCTCCAATTGCAATGTTCTTAATTCCCTTTTATCACTATTTGAATTGATGGGAACTTGGTTATCAGGGTGAACCTGGTTCGGAATTGGTCAAAGTAAGAAAATATATGGATTGGTGCAGCACAAAGGTTTATGCTTTCTATCAAACCATTATTGTTTCATGGATATTGTGATTCCGGTTCACCTCAAGAATGCAACGTTAGGGGCAAAGGTACGGCACGTAATGACGAAAAACGGACAACTGCGATCGGATTGCCCCAACTGGTGTACTCCATGTCAAAGGGACTAACCGAAGTGCTCATGAATAACGGAGGGCACAAAATATTGACAATAACCATATCTATGCCATGCATATCAGCCAGTTCCATAAATAAATTCTTATGATTTTTATTATGAAACAAGATTTTCCCGTAATAAATCCGAAAAGAGAAGCCGCCAGTATAGAGCAACATGGCACGATTTCGCTGCATCTCAACTGGTGCCTACTGCAGATGAATACCATGTTCATTTAGCGTTCGGAAATTGATTAAAAAATAAACACTTCTAAATGAGGGAAAGCGTCACCAAAGCAAAGCGAAGGTGATGAACAAGTCTTTGTGTTGACACAGAATTGGTTTCCATCGGTTGATTGCCATCGCCTAGGCGATCTTAAGCATTCTGGTGTAGTCATTGGTAAAAATCACTCGAAGTGCTTTCTCGCGATCCACGAGGTGTTGCGTCATCAACAATTGCTTGACAATTAATGAGCCTGGTGATTTGTTATCACGGACCACACCAGTCACTGGCTGTGTGAACTTTGACATGGCAGCCTTGCGCAGAACCCAGTTCCGAATGTGTTCTAAAACCCGATTATGTAACTACCTTTCTGCTCTGCCTATATAAGTGTTTCCACACCCATAGTGGAATTGATCGATTACAATTACATTTTATAATCCATTCCCAAACCCTATATAAACATTGTATTCGTCTGCAGTAGGCACCAGTTAAGATGCAGCGAAACCGTCCAGGACACAAATCATACAATGTTTCTATTCTGGCTTCTCTTTTCAGCTTTTTATTCTACCGTTTTTCAGTTATGTTACAATTGATGCACCATTACACAGGTCGTGGAAATTGTACGTTTTTGAAGCATCCGACTAATGTAAACAATAACACAAGTGAATATCATTAGAGATATTTTCTAGGATAGGTTAATGTCGCATGCATTCACATTAGGCAAGGGGGATGAAAGACACGGTTTACCACGAATTCGCCCAATGCCTACCTGTATGTTGTTCAGATACCAGATTGTGTAAAATGCAGTAGCTAAGCAAAAAACAGGAAACACGGACATCTGAGAGCATTGTTTATGTTTCTGCGACATTCCCGCTTGTTTGTTGTACAGGTCAATGAAGCTTTACAAACAAATGAAAGATCTTCCCTGACGAGGTGAGTCCAAAATGTGACCATATTCAAATGATCGCACCGAAAACTTGACGCTCGTCCTCCTCTCCTTTGCGATAGATCTATAGGGAAGAGCACCAGTCAATTTTATTATTCAGGTCTATTACCACACGTCAGTGGATTATTATTTTTTATTGTTTACTTTTAATACGGCATTGCTGGACAACATACACCTATATAGCGTGTTTGTATAGGTCAGTTCCCAACAGAAAAGAAAGTTGATTGCTAACCGTACCGTCCGTTGCACGCACAGGGAGAGGTGTGTGAATGAAAGCCTGTTGAAGATCAAGACATACGGGAGTGGTATTCGCTTATCCCGACCAACTTTTGATCCATAACAAGGCAATCACTGGTGGTGGTTGTGTGATTGATGTAGGCAGCAGCATTATTAGCCGGATACACATGATAAAACTGGTCATGAAGAAAAGGCAGTGCAGATAGATGTGAATAATACTGTACAAAAATCTATACAATAGAGACGGGAGAAGTGGCTAGCCTCCCATCCCCACCCCATCTTGGATGGTTCAACCAATGAGGCAAAAGTCAACGGGATTCTGATGTAACAGTCGGGCTGTGGGAGGAGGAGGTCTGATTTGAAGAAACATTAGAGGACGGGATGGATGTATTGTGACTCTGACGGAACATGGTCATGATGCGTTCAATCGCGCGAGGTCGGAGTTGCCCATTTTCCGGATTGACAATCTGGCTCGTACTTACTCGACTCTGACGCACACATTCAATGGATTCGGCTGGCAAATGTTGCGATTGAAGTACCATAACCAAATGAGATTTAGCCCGGTAGTGTTTGTGCAAATGACCCATGACACGAAACCCAATACTACACACGGAACATTTGTATGGTCGTGGATCGTACTGTCTCGATCGATCCACGGAACCGGAACGTAACGGCTGATTTTCCACTGTTTTTTTGGCTACCACAGGTAATCCACAGAGAACAGCGCTCCCAGATGACGTTGTCGGAGGGACTGTCAAAGATGCACGATCTCTAGGGGAGACCAACTGGGTCTTGTCCTGATGAAGGAAGTCTCTCTTTGAGTTGATCTTATCTAAATCCACAAAGGAACTCGGTTCATTCGGGCCAGACACGTGTGCGGACTGTCGCTCGTCACCAAAGCTATTTGTATGCGAGTCAATCGGACTGCTGATAAACCCAGGTACTGGACAGTGTGAACGAGTCTCTTTCACAGGGCTCATCAGTCCAGCACTGGCCAATAGTCCAGGAGTAGTATGCGACGTTGAGGATTCTTTGGATTGTATGGCAACTGGGCTGGTGCCATTTGGAAATTTTGAGTTCGAACGATCCGTGTGAAACTCTCTCCAGCTTGGCTCATCCGCTTTTTGTTTAGAATCTGAAACATCAGACAAGAAATTCGTATCAGAAAAGCTATTCATATGAAAACAATAATCGTTATAACGAGGGATGGGTAATATTTATCCCTTAATTGGAGAAAATTCTCTTCCGGTATAAATTAACCGCTGTCACTCAAATAAAAACAGCACTAAATCGGTGGCTAAGAGTTTACTAACTGGTAAATAGAAGAAAATGGTCAATTTGTGACCTGATAAAGCCAGAAGCCAANGCCAAGCCTACAAAAAGACATCCTGTCACTGGGGCTGAGGTATGGTCATGGATTGATTCACAGGAATGTGTGTGTGTGAGCTCGGTCCGAGCGGTCGGAAGCGATACCGTAAACCGGGATTTTGTGTGACAAACCACCACAGGTCTCAGCCTAAGAGATTTTATAAACTGATATTCTTTCAGTGGAACACAATTCAAATCCGATCTCTTAAATTTCCCTTTTCTTTTCCTAAAAATCGTCGTATGTAACCTGCGGGGGTGCAAATACGACCACGGTGACAAACCGAATTCAGTAGCAGTCTCATTCCGATGCACACAGTTGTTTATCACAAAGCAATTCTTGATGATCATCAAACAACCTGATCGGTTTTACAACTAGTAATTCGGTATTTGAATGCTACTCTTTCTTTTGTAACCTGCATCATAAACGCAACCGAATTCCTGAAATGGACATCTCAAGTGGGCATAGTAGTGCACCGTTAAATGTAGTACAGATCAATTCATGGGGCATTTTTAGTCGATATGACGTCCGGACATAACGAGCATTGAGAAGCGAACGATCAAAGTGGATTGGGAGAGATGGGCATCCATCATCATCATCATCATCAAAACGAGATAGGTTGGGGGAGGGGGCTGTATAAACAAATGAAGCAAAAACAGCGGGTGGGGGAAAAACAATAGTGTGACACACCTCCTGGTGGTGAGCTGACTCGGTCGGCACTGAGATTCCGAGCTGCAGCTATTGCTGTTTGGATCATGGCCTCCGCACTGACCACAGCCCTTGGGCCTAATTGACCAGGGATCACCTCCAACGGCATGGCAGGCCACTGCTGTCCGAGGTTGGATCCGGATGAGACCATTGTTGTGCCAAGAGTCGAAGAAGTGACCGGAGTGCAAGTGGAAGAGACCGGGGATAAGACCAAGGGTTTTGATACGGTCGCAGGATCTGTCGCGTAGCGAAGCAACACCGTTGGGTGAGTTGGTCGCACGCTCAGATTGAGTGGGAAATCCTAAAGATACAGACAAAGGTTTGCAAAGAAGAGGGATGGATGACAGTAGGACAGATATACAATGCAAAGCATCGAAACTAGGTGACCAGCACATGGACACCGCAAACACAACGATGCTACTGCCATCACTTGACAAACACGTACAAACAATTAAACGAGTATTGGCACATGAGCCCGCAGTCTTTCAAGTGCCTCAAGTGGGAAAGGTCAACTGACAGTCAATTACCTGTAGTAAATGGACCGCGTTAACATTAGGTGCAGGCATTCGATGAACCGGATCGATAATCGATCCAATCGGTCGGGGCTGTAGATTGACCAATCTACCCATTCCCGACCCCGATCCATATTGTTTGGTCACTTTCTTTCGTCGGCCCACAGTGGATTTGCGCAATACGTTTGTCATCGGGGAGGCTGTTTGTGTATCACCATCCAGGCCGGAAGCAACTGTGCTGGGTGTCGAAGTGGGGATTTTAGAGGAGATTGTGGGAGTAGTTTGTGGACCGGATGTGGCAGGATTGGCACGGATTGCACGAAATCGGGTTTCTCGAATCTCACGTTTCGCCGCATGAAGATGGTGATGGTGGTGGTGATGGTGATGATGATGGTGATCTTTACGCATGACCATCAGGCGTTGACGTTCCAAGGCTTGACGATCAACCTGAGTCGCGTCGTCGACAACAACCGGTGCTTGAACAAAACCAAGCTCCTGGATGCATCTAGAAGAAAAGACAACATTGAGAACGTAAGATCTGAATGACAGGACAAGTTGTTTGGTCGAATGGTTTCTTGAATGTAAATGATCATTAGATTCGATTAATTGGAAAAATACTGCTTATGTGAGAAATAAGGGGAAAGTTATTTATGCGTTAGTCCATTGAGTTAGTTTAACAAAACCAGACCCACTGAAGAGTATTACTCCGTTCTCAAACCGAACAAGACACAATCAATTGAGAGATTAATACACAGTCAATTTTAAAAAGGGTTGCTGGAAGAGTGCTCGAAAAACAATAAAAAGGTTGTCTATTTTTCAATCATAGACACAGCCCAAAAATTTGCTACAGTGTACTCTCGAGCGTGAATCAAAAAAATCAAAAAAGCCACCAGGCTTACCTGAGTAACGAATAATCTGCATTATTAAAATGCAATCAGGTTGGTTTCCAGATGATGGGTACAGCTAAACATATCAAAATACATTTCTGAGCTTGTTAAACTATTAAAATTTGGGCAAAGTACAGAAATTGTTGTTTGGCAGATTGAAGTCTTATGTAGAAATTTTGAACAGTTTGGTAACCTCGGTGGAATTCGAACCCACGCATGGACGCCGCCTGCGCAGTTGACCTTGCCTTAAAAGTCTATTCGGTGGATTCCGGTGAATACTACGGAAAACTTGTCGTGGTGGTCAGCTTACATGCTACCTGGTAGATGCCATATGTTTCTGTAATAGGGATGGGTGATTTGAATGAGAAAAGATCAGTGCTATCGTTGTGGCCTCGTAGCTGAGCTGGTAGAGTATATGCTGTACAGTGAACAATGGCCGTTTTTCTCCAACATAGTTTCGGCTCGCCATGGTGCCTTCGGTTGAATCTCAGACGGTGAGGTTGGGACAACCCATCATCGAGGAATGAAGATTATAATGATTTAGCGGTAATATCTCTCGTGGGTGTTAGATGTTTCTAACCTCAGCAAGAATGATGAGCAAAGTTGTTCGCACGCCTTCAGGGTAGGTTTATCCAGGTGTTCATGTACTACCACTAACCGTGGTATGGCAGCTCTCCGATTTCTGCAATCGGGAAGGATTTCCTCGTAACTTTATTTCATGGAGGAACTATTGCCCAAATAGCTCACTTACAGAGACTGAGAAAAGTGCATTTGGGGTGGAATGGAATGCGGGAAACAGCTGAGGCTAAACAACACATTTGGACGTTTACCCTTCGGGGAAATAACTACCAATATTAAATTAATTATACATTAACTCTTAGCGAGCGAGCGAGCAAGCGCGCGCGCACACACACACACACACATCACAAGAACTACGTAGAAAGGAAAACAAGCTGTTTCATTTTACACAAATTTGCCAAACCTGAGACTAATCGTTTTTCAATGGCAATTAATAACGTTGTCACGTATATCTCAGGCGAATACCGGAGCAAAAAAGAAAAACTCGTTTTAACTATAGCGTGAGAGATAAAGGTAATTTCAATCGTTTCTAATAATGGCAATTACAGTGACACAGACTGTCACTAAACCAGACTGTCCTCGCCGATAAGCAAATGTCCGAACAGAAGGCGCCAATCGAAAATCAGGGATATATACCAGGGAGTAATGAATACACAAAAGGGCAGTAACTAGTGGACAAAAGTTCAACGTATTCGTCAATTTTCCGAAAAATGACCCATATTGTGATGAGAAACGGTAAAATCGCAGTGGATAATTAGTAAACCCAGCATTAATGACATAACTGACATAAACGTCTTGGTTACATTCAGAGTATCAAGTTTGGATTAGCCCAAATGTGGCTCCCGGTATTCCTGATGGTGAAAATCTGAAGTCGGCCCTAGGGGCATGGTGACTCTCATAGCCGGAAAAAAGTGTGTAATTTATTCTTCCGTGCATGTTCCAGTGAGTGTGTGCTTATGTGTGTGTGTACTCAACACGAATTGATTTCTCACCAGAATTAGGGTTGTGTTGGACCAGAGTGTTGCAGAATAATTCTGTCGGGTCAACGCAATTCAAAATGCTAACCCGAACACATAAAGAGGAAATGCAAAAAATAACCTACTGGATTGTGGAATCAATGGATCAGCTCACTGACCAGCTATGCGAGATGGGGTTCTGATCGTAAACATGAAAATACAGGACATACCGCCGCATGGCCAGAACGCGGCGAAACCAGCAGCACCGGGTCGTTTGCAAGCGTGGCTTTAGAATAGCTTATGTGAACCAGGCATCGGATAGATGATGAAGTACCCGATTGAATGCGTTTTGAAACGAGCTTCTAGTCAAGATGGTTTCGATCTGGCTAACCGAGGCAATATGATCGCGGACATGTAGCGGATGCAGTACAAGCTACGAAGGAAAACTTTCCCATTATATATACATATGTATATGTATGTATATATATATATATATGTGTGTGTGTGTGTGTGTGTGTGTGTGTGTGTGTAAACCCAAAATCATATCGAGCAAAGGAGTTAGCAGCAAACTGGGAATCAAAAGGGAATTGGAGTAGGAAACAGGAGTTGGAACAAAGAGCTACGAGGCGCGACTTGAGCGTACTCTGGCGAACTTTTAAGGACGCTTTGCTTTGCAGACAGATTCCTGAACGAAAACGGTCAAACTATATATTATTTTCCGCTCAATGCATTCACTAATAGAGCGATTCATTCAGCAAGTTAGTTTCGATGCCTACTACCCCGTATATCAATGATGAAAATAAATATCCTAATACTTTCCCCACAATATACCTATGTGTATTTCGGTCACAAGTTTCAATCGAACGAATTCGCGCAGTCCACAGCAGATGTAATCCAAAATAACAATTAGTTATCGATCAACTTGTAAACAGCAATGTCGATCTATGCACATGTGTCTGCAGACAACAGGAGTTATTGATTGAAAATTGGGCGTATATATGCAGAGAGGAAATCAATTCTTCTTCTTCGCCTAAAGTGAACACTGTGTGGGTGTTAACTGTCAGCTGTTCGACCAGGCGTTTTCTGATAAAAAGGAACAGGGAGTAGTTGTAAGTGGTAATCGACCGCGGTCGGTACATGTGGCAGTTAGACCACTACAGAATAGGACCGATTATAAAAATAAAAATTCCCGACCTCTTTTCCCCGAACACGCCGGCAGGAAATGGTGACCATTTGTGGTAGTCGATAATTTATTGTGTTTGTCTATCTACCGGGCCGTCTATCTCTCTGGAATAAAATGCATGCTTAAAAAGGATTTACGAGTGATTAGCTTTTGTGCTCTGCAGTGCGGTAATAGGAAATTTTTAGATTGCTATAAGCATTATGAGCAAGTCGGGTTCAGGGGGGTCATGCGACATAATGTAAGCCAAAGTATTTGGAACAATCGAAAGACTGTGTATGTGGGAAATGATTCATTCGAATCAAAAGAGGCACTTGAAAAGTTCCTATTTGAGAGTTGAACCGAAATCCAAATTACAAGCCTCCCCAAAGAGGTCAGATCGAAATGCTCTCGAGTTTCATGCATATTTTTTTCATCAAAGATCTCTATCTGATCTCGTACCAATTTTTCAGATCTGATGTCAGTGAAGGACAGTCGTAAAATGACAAATACCCACAGAGCGAAATAGCGCTGCTGGCGGTGAATAAATGTATCGTTAGACCTTGGAAATGCCCGCGTCCATATTTGATCTACGTGGACTGATCGGTCCAATAAAAGGCTAATCACGATGGTGACTTCACTATAGATATGCTTTGTATGGTCTGTTACCGAAGGCACTCACAGGTAGTGTCAAACAAGATGCCCCTGTTGTTTACGTCACACATACCCATCAGAATGTGTTCATCCGAAGAAAAATCGATCAAAAGCTTTCTTAAAAAAAGACTTCCCGCCCGCAGATCGGTGAATCTTAAAAGCACGGGGATATGAGCTTCTGAATAGAAATGCAGAAAGGTGACGGTCTATTTCAGTTATCTGGTTAGTAAGTAGGATAACACGGCGAAGCAATTATGCCTCACTTCACTGTATTCCACTGTACGATAATGGTGGTACGCTTCGTTCTGTTCATTTGTCTTATCTCCTACCAGACTTGAATAACCCCATTCTCCGCCAATACTCTGTTAGCCGGATAACAAGCAATCTATGAGGGGAGCATGGTTGAACTTTGTGACTTCTTCATCATCAACATCATCATCGTCTTCGTGCGCGCAGTCCATGAACGATCATTTAACCCACCTCCACTCACTTGATCTTCTACCATGGAAAAAGAGCTTCCAATGTGTAAATAGGCCGTCAATGATGGTGTGATGTGACCCATCTCTCTGATTCGGTAGACTCGTACGGATCACGCATTCCTGGGGGAGTAAGGCGGATCTGCGTACTAGAATTCAAACATAAGATGGGCACAATTCCACACAACGTTTCAGCTCTAAAACACAATGTAGAAAATGCAAACTATTGTTGGTATTGGTGTATTATCCGAGATGGAAGTGTTATTCGCAGACCTTTTGTAGCCAGACTAGGCGACATTGGGTACTGAAACGATTAAGGATTGGACCTATATTCGTGCCAAACGGAGCCGGGGGCAGGGGGATATGGTTCTAACCTAGTTCCACAAAACACAGATTATGCCTTCACGTTGAACCTATGTAATGCAAGAACATAGAAAATCCGAGTAACCAGCTGATATTGGATACACAATGGTGAATCAAGTTGGGAACGGAAAACCGTCGTGCTTATGAAGGAGTGAGAAAGCGAAAATACCGGGCTGACGTGTATCGCGTTTGCGGCATCCAATTAAAGTCGTTAGTTTTGCACTCACTCAATCAATCACATGACAGTACATAGTAGTACTCAGTACGTATGCGACTAAACTCATAAAATCTTGCCAATACCTCTGATCGAATATTTGGAAACACTTTTAAACCATACAAGAGCAGAGAAGACTATCCTATAACCAGACGTACCTATTTCGATGAACACGTGACTTCATGTGCTTGCTCAAATTACCCCGCGTCTTGAACGAGACATCACAGTGTTGACACATATAAGGCCGAACATTGGAATGCGTTCGATAGTGTTTCCGTAGTAGACAAGGTTTGTGACACATCATACCGCATTCGCAACAGCGATACTTGTTCCGGTTAGCGACCAGACGAGATGAGAAAGGCACGCTGGCAGTGCTAACACGAGTATGCGTCTCCGTAGCACGTTGCAACGACCCTGTTTTGGATAGCAACGGTCGGTACGGGAGCATAGGTTTGATAGGTTTGTTACGATTAGTGTTGTTCCCGTTGGTGTTCAGTACTCCAGGACAGATACTCGTCGGAGCGGCGTTCGTCTGAACGGTTGTACTCGCGGAGGGAAGTTCGCATGTAGACGTGACAAGAGAATCCTGGATCGAGGCCTTTGGAACGGAATTTTCCCCTGGCATGATGGTGATTGAATCGGATGCCGTTGTCGCCACGGTGATGCTTGGTATAGGTGCCGTGGTTATTGATGCTGTTGTGTTGCAAATTGTGCTACTTGAGGAATTGACAATACCAACTGGAGTGATAATCTGTGTTGCTGAAAATCAGAAAAACGAATAAATCAAAGTAAGCAATCACTGAGTTTCCTTGGAGGTCATTAACTACATTTATAACATATATTATTTATAAAATAATATAAATATAAGCACATCTACAATCTAAAAGAGCATTTGTAGCATTTACTAAAAGTGTAGTCCAAAAACTTATGTCATTCGTACCTTGAAAAGTGTAACCAGATCCATGGGGCTACAAAGTAAAATGTACGCAGTGCTTGCGGACAAGCACGGTGCCAACGCCAGAACAATAACAACAGAAACAGGGGAAGGGTGGATTGGGATACAGAACGAAGTGTCATAAAACACCTTGATTCGAATAGTAATCATTGTGGTTCACATCTTCACATGGCCTCCGACAATATACTAGCTACGGCTGGCGATAGACAAGTGATTCCGGCCTCAGAGGTTGTGCGTTAGAATATCAACCCCACCACCGCTTCATTTTCCCGTTCAATGTACCCTACGGTGACCGTATGATCGAAGACTTTCCTCTTCTTGAAAATTGATTGTCCAAACGTTTAAACAAAAGAAAAAAGATTTAAGGAAGTACATACTTAAATACAGCTACGTGAACTCAACGTCACAGTTTGATTATCTATTCATTCCATTCTCTCCGTCGAAAAAAAACAAAGGCGAAGGAGCAAATGTTTGAAACAATGATAATATTTGTTTATCTGAAGTTTAGTCTGATCAAAAGTAGGTCGTAAGGCTCCAAATGAAAAACAACCGTTCCGAATGCGTTTGGCCGTTCAACCCTGCGCGAGATATGGATGACCATAAACCCAGTTCACACGGCAAAACTGTATAATATGAGCAAGCATGGTGGCAAATAGCGTAAGAAATGGGTTGTGTTAGTTTATTTTTTCGTAAGCGTGCCGTTTCCCCAAGAAAAAGCTAATCCCAACGGCCGGTTTCGTACGAAAATTGATCGAACGGACGCGATCACATGCACGATCGCACAGATAAGGCGACCACATGGGATTCAGTCACCTCGTGCATCAGATTCGCCTGGCCGTTCGCTCAACAACCAACAAATTTTGCTTGATTCGCGTGTTGAAATTATATAAAGTGATTTCGTTCTTTTCGGGGAGATCTCTCGCATTTCGTACGGTAGTAATTCAATTCAAATATCACATTTGCACTCTCAGTTGAGTTGTAACAGTAATCAGGAATCAACAATCTAGCTATGAAAATACCGTTTATTGTGGCAATGGTCGAGTCCATTGCCAATCAAATCAACATCTCAAAGCATGTGACCATCTGAGTGATACAAATCCTGTTTTTAATGCATCACATCCTCTACACTCGACCCCCCCTCTCTCTCTCTCTCTCTCTCGCGCGCGCTCCACATTCACTTCTGTCACTCGTAATAAACTTAAACCTTTATACATTCGCATCACAACTGTTCATAATCCTGTTGTATATTATGTTTATTGATTTCTAGGGAATTACTATCAAATGAATTTAGACACAAGCTCATGAAGTTTTTTTTTGGATTCCGCTAGGCGTTCTAAATCTTGATCATCATGATCTATTTCTTGGACCGAATTTCATAGCACCAGGTCCCTTTAATTCGCGTGTACCCCTAAACAAAAGTCAGAGCGATTTTTTACTGAAAATTCTGTTCACAATGGACGACCTGAAATGGCACCCGGCTTGATTGTCACACGCAAATAGCATGGCTTCACCGATCCACCGATTCGACGTCCGTCACAGAGCTCGATAAGATGTATGACTGAGGTCTGCCTCATTTCGACACAGAAAGAGCGTGGGAAGACAGGTGGTCAATCCTGGGGTAGAAAAAATGTGTGATCAATTGAACAATGAGATGCGCTGAACAGAAGTGGATCCAACCACAGCGTTTCTTTCTCACATCTAAGTGATGATTTCTCAATCCAAAATGACAGTTTCGCAAATGAAAATTATAATTTCTCAAATCTAACCTAAAATGGTATAGAACAACATATGATTTGCGCCATACATGGAACCTTGGGAAAACGGATCGCAATGCAAACCGCTATCCGATCAAGCTTGCTCAATTATGGATCATCTGAGCTTGAACAAATGTACAGTGCGGAAGGACTGGCGTTAGAGAGAGAGAGAGAAAGAGAGAAAGGCTGGGGCAGTAGACACTAGCGGCATCAAAACACGCCCGTAAAATCGCGGGGTAAGCTTGTTGTTTAAGAACAAAAATGTGGAATAGAATCCCTTCACTAGTGATTGAACATGCTCTAAACCTACCACACTTTGAGGAGGTCTTCTTCACGGCGAACAAATTTGGATCAGTCACTCGGATTGCTGTTGCGATACCCATACATGTGGTCGGTAATGCCGTGGGGACAGTTGTTATTGCTGTTGTCGTTGTTCTCGCAGCCGTTGACATAGTTGTTGTTGTTGTTGCTCCTGCTGTAGTTGTTGTTGTTTTCATTGCGTTGGGTGAACTGGAAACAGTGGTAACTGTCATGATATTGACCGAACTCGCAGCAGTTGTATCCGATGTGATCGGCGGTGGAGAAAATAATGGCTCAACAGGGGACTGACGACATTCGACCGGGATAGATNATTCCAGCACAGTGACAGGCAGTGAAGAGTTCTACGGATAGTGGAACAGGAATGTCGTTCAGGGAAGGGTATAGAACCGGGAACAGAAAAGCCAGATGCCACAGCCGACTGGGAGCAACACCGAAAAAGCAGTAACCACAGTAATTCCAGTAATTCTGAAACATCTACGACAAATGTTCTCGTATAAAAATCACCGTTCATATCTACCGCTATTAGATGCAACGGCCTGCTATTTTTCAATATTTCTTTATGGACATCAATAACTCCAGGTGAAACCATGAACTTTTCAGTTTCCAAGGCTATTAAGTTGAAGATTGTTTGTGATCTTGCTTAATTCTACTCTCCCAAGCACACAGGTAATCTGAACAAAAAATCAATTCATCAAATTCTACAGTTGATTTAGGTTGAAAATTCGCTTTACCCAGATTTCTCATATCCATTCATCCATTCATCTTTGTTGCTGCATACCGAGAAGGCAATTCTTACTAATCTGTGAGAGATAACCGGACCTATGAAAGCATAGTAACTATCAGGCAATAAAAAGAATCAAAGGGCACAGTCAAAATTGTACTTCCTAACAAGCTGAGGTTATGGAGTTGATTTTAAGTTGTTTACAATTAAGTTCAGAGTTGATCTCCGACGAGCGCTCCCCATCAGCTGTGTTTGAATGACAAAGTTGTACCCCTTGTCCACTTTGAGTTGCGTCCACAGACCGAGCTTTCGGAGATCCTGATAGCCACTCTACCATTATCTTCATTAGCAGTTACGGTGTTCTGATATCCGGGTCTCGTTTTGTGCATGTTACTGGTGAGAAAATCAATCCTTGATGCTGCTGAGTGAAAGTGCCATATTTGTTAAGATAGAATAAGACTTGAGGGAATTTACAAGCAAAGCCTTCATAACTCGGGGAGGGGGGACAAAAACGGTGGTAAAGTGGAGATGGGATCTTACTTCCGTGAGATTCACACGATCCACGTATCCAAAACATCTATGGCTCATTATAGCAATGATCGATAAGTGATGGTTGCCAGTGTTCAACTATGGACGATTCATGAAACAATACTCGACGATGAAAATAGGAACAGTCTTCACTCCCCAAATGGAGACTAGAAATTATTTCAGGATACAGTTCACCTATTATGCCGATCCTAACACCATTCCATATTTACAACTCTGTACAGAAACTTCGCAGATTATCTTTTCATCTTCGAAGACCTAAGCAGTTCAATGTCAAGCAAAAAATCATTTCACTTTCTGTTTATCAATGTTTTCCCCGTTCTTTTTTATTGTTCCCCAGTGGTTTTTGTTGGTCTACTAAAGAAAAACTTCAAAACTCTTCGTGTTTTTTATACCCGTTGATGAGCTATCTAAAAAACTGTGTGAACCTCATTTGTCCGCATGTGAAACATTTGCACAGAAAATCCTCTCTGACCTCAACCATCCTTTACATGGCCATTTATCTAGATGATGCTCTCATAAGTCTACACGTTCTTCTTATCGATTATTACCCTCTCGCAGTAGTCAGTAGTACAGAAATTTCCCAGTTCCCTATCTTGTCAGAACCCTTGGAAAACGAGAGCGCGTTTCTTCAGAATTTCTCAGTAACCTTAAAGGTTAAATATTTTACTTGTATTTTTCCTTCTATTGATGAGATGTGTAATTTTTGACTGAAATGCGAACATTTCTTTTATCGCAAAAGTCTATACAAATACAAATACAAAGAACTAGCTATCCTCTATTCACTGTGGACAGAGGCCTACTCATTTCATACCATTATATGATGGCCAATCGAAGAGGTTGAGAGATATCAACGACACGATGACCTAGTTTTCAGCTACAGGAATCGGTCATGCAAGCCCTCGAGCTGAGCTTGGTAAACAACAACACTAGGCCCGAATCGGACTGGCTTCGTATGGAATGAACCAGCGACACCGAGGCGGACCACCGAACAAGTTGAGTGGCAGTAACAGGGCTCGAACCTCAAATCATAAAATCCGAAGCGCAAAAATAATATTAACATAGATTACTTGAGCCTATCAACTTGGACCGCAATAGCGTCCCCATTTATATATTCATCGGATTTGAGATCTGTAACCGAATTCGCAACAAATTCATCGTGCAAATATAAATAAACCCACATAGTCGGTTGACCCTCGAAATTCGGACCCGAAATGTAATAATCGTCATAGTCCGGTCAGATGCTTAATCACGCAATAAATGAAGCGGTCGCAATGCGAATGAAAGTCACGATGGGGACAGACAGAATGCGCGAGCGGTGTTGTTCATTCAGGCGGGGAAAAGGTTAGACGGCTGACGAATCGGATCAAACTAATTGTCCGGTCAAACTCATTTCGGTGACAATCAAATTGAAAAACAGCCCGAAAAACTGTTCATTCATTACGGTAATCAGAAAGAAAACTCCGCGCCGGGGACACTTTCTAGTTGATAACTAGATGGGATAGAGGCGCGGACGTCCAGTGCGAAGTTTCCAGTCAAATTTGTTAAAGTGGTTTTCGGTGACTGCACTCACTTGTTTACTTGCGTGATTGACACTTTCCCGATCCCTATCCCGCACCGTTTCGACCGACTTGTCTGTCGGTACTGCAGAAATTTCGGAGGTAGTAGTAGTAGAAGTAGTGGTAACAGTCTGGCAGGAAATCTGTTCTGCTGGCAAACTAACCGCTGGGGCAATCGCCTTCAGGGGTCTTGGTGTGATTGCATCGACTTGACTTGTGGCCGGAATCGGAGTTATAATCGAGTCAGTTACTGTGCTCACGTTCAGGCCTAGTCTTACAGGTTGTGTAACTTCTGGCTGGACGACCAAACAGGATGGAGAAACGACCGGTTGATTGGAGACCATGGGTACACAAGGACCGACGAAACGGGGGAGAACCATGAGCTGTGGAAGAATGAAAACACCTGGAGGGGTTGGCGTCATGGAACTGGAGGATTGATGATGGGGAGTATTTATCACCGTTGAGTGAACAGTCGTTGTCGTGAAATTCTGACCAAGAGACGATACCGTTCCTGAAGGGGCTAACGGCACAACCACCGTAGATGGTGGACGCATGCATAAGTTGGCAACTTGAATGGGACTCCAGAATCCGGCGTGACTGGTTCCCGAATCCAGTGCTGTTTTGTTTGGAACCGGATCCAGCCCGCAGTGTGTTGAAAGACTTGGTGTGACTGGTACCACAGTGACGTAACTCGACACCACCGAGGATGCAAGTGAGACACATGCCGGTTTGAGTGGAGAAGTTGTAGTGGCTAAGATAGGTTGCTTGGTTATCAGTGCTGAAAATTTGCAAAAGGAAACAAAACCAACCGGTTACAAATCATATATTCGGGCAAAACAATCAACCTATCGTGTCATCGGAGAAACATTTCCGTGATGGAAGCAACACACTACTGCAATCTCATAAAATGTGCTAAATGAATGCGTGTCTAACACGAACCAATCTGAAACTTTATACCGATGTCACGTGTGATTCGACCTATTTAAAGAATGACGGTCAAGACTAAACGAAATTCGCAGTCAATTATTCTATGCAGTTATCACGTGTCTGCGAACATAGCATGGAGTTGACGTGTTTGTCTGGAACATCGATTGAGAGTAAGCGGAAAAGATGAATAGATGGTTCACACACGCGCTCGTCCCGTTCGTTCGGCAAGATATGATGAGCACAACAAAAACAGACCGTGTAACAAACGATATTCAACAAAACCAACTTATCTCAGTTAAAACACACCACTCTACAGAGAGGCATCTAACAAAACTCATACAAATTATAGTATCGTCTAAAACGATGACCGCACTACAAATTAGTTGTCCAGTGGCTAAGAAGGAGCACTGGACAGTTGTTGTATCGAGATCCGTGCAAAGTTTATCTGCCTTCCCCGTCTCCGTAACTCAAGCCACGAGCCTCTCCTAAGAGTCATGAATCGGAGTTCTTGTCCTTTGCATGCACATCTATCAAAAATGAAACCGAGGAGTAGGAAGTTACCGCTCATGCAACCAGTTGTTACCTTTAACATTCTCATGAATAATTACACTCCCTGTCCCAATGCCCAATCCGGTTCGAATTAGTGACCTTTGGCCTTCGTATTGATTGATTTCTCTTCCCCATGTGTGTTCACCACTCTTTTAACCAAACGTGATCTGACTGTAGTTGCCGTTCAGTTGTTGAGGGTGCTGCAAAATATAATTTTTCTATAAAACTGCTCGGTTTCTCAAGGCCAAATGGCATTTTACACGGAAAACACCAATCCAAAACTAAGTGAAGGAGTGTTTGAAGTAAGATTGACGACCCGAACCAACAAGCCAGCGTGCCCGTGAATCAATCAAGACGACAACCGTCAGGTTCAGATCGATGGAGGAAAGATCTTTTGAAATGGTTCGGAATTCAGGCTTTTTCAATCCCTTGATAGATTGCGTCGCCGACTGGCTAACCTGATTCCTACTATTAACCCCTCAGAGAAAAATTGAAGAGAAAGTTCGCAGGACCTCTTCGACAGATGGTTTAAGAGACACGTCCAAAAGAATATTTTGTCAAGTGAGAAAGGAGTTTCACTTAATTTTGAAGTGAAACGCGTAAAAATTGGAGGTTCCGTGAATATTGGTTGCGCGGGGTCTGATACCCGTATTAAGCTCGTAAAGATGGGTGGTTGGATGCATGCGTTCTAACTGTGAGGTCCCCAGTCGGGTCGATGGATTCTCAGTGTTGATTTTTTTATTACACACTATCGTGTGACGAACAACAGACAGGGAAAGCCCCATATTCACAAGGACCTGCTGTTCAGTGATGGAGAGCGGTAACCTAAGCCCCGGTGAACCACATAAGGCCCCGAAAGGTTAGGTGTGGTACTGAACCGGACGACAGCACAGCTGCCTGCCACCCAACTAGGTCAAAACAGATGTCCAGTGCTTCCCGGTACTTCAGCTTACGCTTTGTTGATACGACAGAGTCATCATATAATCAAAGCAAATCTTCCATTGCTGTCATATAATTTTCTATTTACAGAATTACTATCGCGAATACGAAACATAATTAAACACAAACATCCATAATTTTCTCTTAAGAAGAAAACCAATGAAATTTCCGTGTTGCACAACTCAATGTGATACCCAATCACAGAGTGAAAATCAGAGCAACGAGAATCGGCTGTTCGTGCTTTGATACGGAAGCCGCCAAACTAAGTCCTGGAGCAATGAACCGCGAAAAGCCTCCGAGGTCGATTCTATGACAGTGTCTCTGCCTCTGTCGATCCGTTTCGACCTCAAAGAGAGACGCGCCACTTTGAGAAATAGCGAGGGTACACCACTGGTGCACTTACTCAAGCTTATTCCATACACAAAATTAGTGTTATAGGAGATTGATTGAACCCAGTCACATGACTCAACCAAATGAATACGAGAATAGAATGAAGCAAGCAAAGAGAATACTTGACGTCATCGACGGAACTTTGTCCACACAAAAATTCTACTCAGAGAGAGAGAGAGAGAGACAGTTGGGGTCAGTTCGCTTTCAGATTGTGTTGGTGGTAGAAAACATAAAGGTGGTCGTTACTACTACTTACTTTCCATCATCTTTTGATTTTGCGTGGATCCTTGATAGTTCACAGATAATCGTTTCTTTGGGGGAGGTCGAATTGCACTTGGACCCGATCGACCGGTCTGAAAACGTTGCTCATGAGTCTGTGATCCAGACGTGGTTATGATGGGAGTCAAAACAGAGCTTGTTCCGGTATCGGCATTGGAAACCGCAGTCAGTGGAGGAGAGGAACACGATGTGGATGATGGAGGGTGCACTGATTCGGATTCTGTAGTGGTGACAACACCCGAAGGATGTGTTGACACGTTGGTGACCGTTGCAACCGGCTCGGTAACCACGTGGAAAAGCTTGTCCGTCTCCGGATCGAGATGTTCATTTGTTTGATGCGGATTATCGCATTGTGAGTCGTGGGACTGATGGAAAACCGAGAAAGGTTTGTCCATATCACAGGTACTGGGTTCCGTATCTGTGCAACAGACGTGGAACAGAATGAGGAAACGAAAGTGGAACGGAAAATGGCATTCTATACGAATGCGAGAAATGATAATGGAGTGCAAAAAAACAATGAAATGGTATGACAATAACGGTTATGATGACTGGGTACGCGTGCACGAGCTCGCGCGCACGCACGCACGCACACACACACCCACCCACCCACACACACACACACAAATAATGCATACCGGAACTGGCGGGATATTCTGGGGTTTGGTCGCGTGGTTCACCGGAATGAGCGAGAAATAAAATGGTCCGAGCAGCCTGAAGCTCCTCTTGGCTACGTTTGTTCAATTCCTCTCCACTACTATTGCTCGCCGCAGGTGAATCGTCACACTGACGTCGCACTTTGGAATTCGTATCTAATATTGGAGAGTCGGCTTTTTTGTGCAGAGCGCCCATATCCAGTGAACTCTCTGAAGGGGTTGGACAAGATGATCGTGAAAGAATCGTATCAATCACTATCCTCGCCAAAAAAAATGAATAAACGAAAAGATTGATTAACGGCATTGTTAGTAAGTTATTCATAATGTTTCGTTGGGCGAGATACAAAGCACCGGAATCCGATGGCCTCCCTCAGCTCTATCTGAAGAAGGTGGAAAAAACTTACTGCAGCGATGCAAGTTCTGCACTTCAATGTTTTAAACACCGAGCGAGTCCCTCTCGTGTTGTCTCCATCTTTACCAAGGGCCCGTGAACTGTCGATGTCAAACCCAGTGGTCTAAACCAAATCCCAGTAGGATCAAAGCTGTTAGCGTTCATCATTCTTCGCAGATTGTACAACACAGATGCAGAGTAAACCCTCGAGGATCAGGTTGTGGATTTATCGACCACATCTTCACCCTCAGACTGTTGCTAGGACACAGTCAGTCTTTCCAACGATCACTATGTGTCTAAACATCTGTGCTGGATTCAATTCCACCGATGGAACTGAACTATAGAACTATTTGTCGAGAAATGGAGTACCTGAGGTATGTGTTGATCCTTGAAGAGTTGTATCACCTATGACTGGCTTTCGCCACAACTTTGCCTAATCCAGTAGAGTGCGGTAAGGCTGCCCCTTATCCCCATCACTCTTCAGTTTTGCAAAAGATTTTGTCTGGGCTAGTAAATGGTGAAAATGGAATCGTTCCCGGAAACATAGTTCTGAACTTAAAATATACCGATGATACCGCCGTGCTGGGTGGTAATACACAGGCACATCAACTTGCTTTGAACTGCTTGGCGATCAAGGTATCCATGTGTGGTATGCGCTTTGTACTATCCAAGTGCAAAGCAGGAGCCAGCCACTGTACCCGC